GACAAATGGAAAGGGAGAAAAGGAATATAAATAATTTGATCAATCAGTTTATATGCTGCTTTTTTTAAAAATGGAGCATCTTTATGTCCATGGGTCTTTTGTTTTAGAATTTAAACACATCTCTTCATTTAAGCAATATTGATGTTTTGAGAAACAATTGGAAAATGTGTGAACATCCCGTATATAAAATCCTCAAAATATCAGAGTTCTTTTAAAAACTGTACAATGTTAATATTTATATGTATATTGGTATTTTGAGAGCCACTAGATGTAAATGAAAGGCAAATATATATATAGGTGTGTTACGAAACTTGGTACAATATACAATATCGATATACAATAATTCCATTTACACGTATATGTAATATATCAGAGTTCTAATAAAACTGGTTTATTATTTGTTAATGATCAATAGTCTGAGTTGAGCTGATTTATTGTTATCGAAACAATAAAGATATTGACATATTTGTTTACACGACCATTTTACTCTTCAAATTATATTCTGTTTAAAGGTTCACCTTCGCCTTCAAAGTGTTGAAAATATCCGAACTCCCAATTCCAGACAAACATCTACTTACCTCTTTTAACAAAAGCAGACTTATAGTTTCTTACGTTATACATGCAACGTTTGGACACATCATTCCTACGTCGTCACGAAACAAGGGCCAACGTTATTTGTAGTATTTCTCTCCCTTTCCTTTTTCCCCCTTTTTGAATTGCGATCTTTGACTATTTGGTGTAGAATCGAACAAAACGGTTGAAATAATATCTATGATCAACAGAACGAATAATTTGGGAAAAAGTTAGAGCCGGTTTAAGAGACGAGAATTAACATTAAAGTCAATTGATGATCTGTAGCTGTTTAGCTTTTGGAATACCCTCCCGTTACCTCTTAAACTTGTGCCACGTCGATGTCAGTAGTGAAGAATACGGCACTGACCTCTAAATTGTAAATATTTATTTATCTCTGGTCGTTATTTCAGGGACATTTAATCCCTTGCAGAGTACAATATTGTGAAAGTTAAATCTCTAAACGGAACATCAGTCAATTCTGTTCAGTACAGTATTTACAAAGATGTGATGAATTAAAAATTTGCCAATATTCGGCATCTTCTAAAGACCATATAAACAACCAAACGCCACCTATAATATTCGCTAAAATCTTTTGGTGAGCTATTTTAATCTGATATAATCCAAATCCGCAGATTATTTGTTCTTGATATTTTGATTTTATTTTCTTAAATAAATGTCAGATAAATAATCAGGATACGTTTTAGTTTGGTTTAAGCTGTGAAGAATAAGATATTGTCCCACAAAGACAGCTGCTTTAATCCAAGCATTAAATTTGCTATGAACATGATTAAGTTGTAAAAGAATAGTCTATATATGTGTTAATCGCATGTGTTTGGTATCTCTATTTCCTGTTAAATAATCAGGGAGTCATGGCTGAAGTAAAATGGGGTTTAATGTCCTACAGGTCTCCACCAACCGCTAAGAGGGAAGAGGGGGGGGGGGGGTCGTCCGAGTATTTGCTTACAGAATTCAAACTGTCAATGGCTCTTTTATACTGTCCCTCGGTTTTTCATCCCATCCAAACGACTAAACACTGTTCCTTGCTAGGAAACCACGTTGAAGAATTATCGGTCGATACCGGGATCGAACCTCCTTTACACTGAGCCACCGTTCGGGAATGGACTATACATACTTCATTGCTGCACAAGATACTGTACAAAGTATAAGTTAAGCATGTTGCCAATGGGCTACACTTTGGTGCCATAGTAGAATATTGATCTGCGATTGTGTGCGAGTTGTATAGATCATATCTGTATAAATCTGACCAGAGATTGTTAAACATCATCATGTACTTAAATAAAGTAACGGACACGAGTGGAATGAACTCATCACTTTCTGTTTAAAAGTTAGTTTATCACACGTTCTTGACACTAATCAACTCAACAATTGATGTGTACTAATTAAATTGTATTAAACTAGATCCACGCGCTGTCACTGTTTAATACTTTATAAATACTTGATTAATGTACGGTTATCTTTAACTGGAGTTTAGTTCTAGACACTAATCAACTCGGTCATGGACATGAAGTAATATGTTTTTCTTAAAGGTGCCTTTGATGACAAAATAAAAACATATTCAAACTAATTTATCTATGAAAGGTTTGCTTTCCATATATACCAAAATTTCCATACTTTCATTGGAAATGATTACCCGATAAATACTTTCGTGGGAATGTATCTTTAAACTAGACCCTCGTTCCGACATTGTTTATAACATAATAGATATTTTATCTATGACGCTCTCCTTTCATTACTTTTATAACCAACATGAAATTAATTAAGTTTTCAATTGTGATTTGGTTTGTAAGCGATGATAGTGGGATGTTTGTGCTGTTAACTACCGGTGTTCTAAAGAGGGAATACCAAGTAGACGGCACTAACCAATTCGTACCGCTACCGGGTGAAAGCCATCAATATTATTTGGATTTGGTCCTTGAAATTCAAAGTGTGTGATACGGGGTTTTTTTTTTAGATTTAATGGAAGACAGTTACGAATATTTTTTTTTTACTTTCTTTAAAGTGGGTTCAGCGGGGTCCGATTAGAACCTCTAAAACCTAAAATATTTCAAAGTTGTGGTACCCCCATATACAAGTGATTCAAGACAATACAGGGGATAAGCTTACAATGATAACACCTATTGAATAGTACAGCCTTCATGAATCGAGGAGCCACGGTGGCTAAGGGGGTAATGCGCTTGCTCGCTAGCCTCGATGTCGCGTTTTCGATCCCTGCATTGACCGAGAAAGTTCACCGGGATTTTCCGACGTGGTTTCCCCTTGTCAGTGGCACAGGACGGAGGGCCTGACACGGACAGCTGTCTAGTCGTTCGGATTCGACGAATAGCCGAAATCCCGTGTATACAATGGTGTACACGTAAAAGAACCCTTGGCATTGTTGGAATTCGATATAAGAGTAGGCCATAGTGCCGCTGCCTGGACAAAATTTCCCTCATAGCACACTGTATGGCGTTAGCCTAGTCAGAGCAGAGCAGTAGGACGTTAAAGATCATTTCATTTCATTTCCTACGAGTCGACCTATGGGGAAAGAGAGGGAGAAATGGGGTTTAACATCCACTCGACACAAACCAGGTCATTTCGGGACTAACATAATGTTTAATTTAATTTCAATAATTCTCTTGCGCGTAGAGGTCTTTAGCAGTGGGAGGAAACAGGGGGACCCTGAGGTTGGACAGGCGACCCTACACCTTGTCACGTACAACCGTGGGATCGGCACCACACCAGTTGACTCAATGACAGACCTTATGATACAGCACGCACGCTCTAACCATTTGGCCATCCAAACCTCCCCCTCCCCCGAACTATGGGGAAACAAGCTTCAACGTATAATATGCGCAGTGTTGCTTCTGTCAATGAAATCCAGGTCCACAGTATCCCCGCATGTAGCGCTTGATATACGGCATATTGCGCTTTAGTAAAACCACTTCTAACATTTTAAAAAAGCAAACTAAATACGATGCCGTTAACCTTTGAACGAGTGGAAAGGTGTTCAATAAATGTCAGAATCAGAATAAAAGAGAAGGGCAATAAGTTAAAAGTTTTGCTCAGACCCGCAATTATAAAAGAGAAATTAAGCGGAATTATGTTGTCAGAGCGGAAATTAACAACATCATTATTACTTCGTATTTCAAGGACAGGACAAATGCTGCTCGTGTTAATAAGAATATCCGTAAATAATCCACCTTCAAACATAGTCGGCTACTTTTTTCTATGCCACAAATAGCTTTGTGATGGCATCATCATTATCGATAATGGTCTCCTATAACCTTTTTTTTTATATGGTGTCCCAGAGTGACCAATCACAGACATTGACTTGTATCTTGACTGACATTTAGAAATCAGTAATTCTATTTACACACCACGGTATGGCTCATGATTGTAACAGTTAGTTAATCCAAAAGGATGCATCGAGGTTATTATCTGGGGTATAACATTTGATATAATGTTGTTTAATTTGAGTCAGTACCATACGTACTTTAGGTGTTGTAATGGTGTTACGCGGGATGTTCCATTCGATGAATTCCGATAGTTTCCTGCACGCGGAAGGGATAGCCAAGCAAATACGAGGGTTTTCCCCCCATTAAGATGGAGGATTGGGTGATCGAGGCCAACATGTGAGCAATGTAGATTAATACACTAATAGGGTTTACCTGAGGTACCGAACACCTATAAACAGAATGGGCGTCAAGTTGAGATCTCTGAACTTTTAAAACATTACATAGGTTTTGCTTATTGTCTAGTTTGTAGGATAAATCTGTCGTAATTTCACCATGTTTGCTAATTAAAATAGCAATATTGAGCTGTCATCATTAATAATCATTGCTTATTTTAAAAACATAATATATTATGGCATTTATGATTTACAATATCCGGTGAAAACTACCAACATGTTGACAAATAAACGTCTGAAAACCTCACTTCTTAAATTAGTCGGCCATCAAACTTTAACGACGTTATCAAGGGGTGCATAAGGGATGTTACTCCAATTGTTTTATATAACGAGGTATGACCAAACGTATGATCAAACGTTGATTAACGACAGCAAGTTATTGTAACTGGCATAATGTTATTGCCACTTTAAGATAGTATGTCATAAAAATGGTAGATTGGGTGGTACCAATAATAGGGTGTCGTTATTTGAACAAGGCAGACAACAATAGACCATCAAAATTTAACAACGTTATCAAAGGGAGCATAAGGGATGTTACTCTAACTGTTTTATATAACGAGGTATGATGAAACGTTGATTAATGACAGCAAGTTATTCTAACTGGCATAATGTTATTGCCACTTTAAGATAGTATGCTAACTCATAAAAATGGTAAATTGGGTGGTACCAATAATAAGTTCTCGTTATTTGAACAATGACAACAATAGGCCACCATACTTGTAGACTTTGATTAGGTTTAATCGCGTGCCTGCTATATTATAGACGTTTATAGCCGTGTCTAAACGCCTTCAAGACATCACATAAAACACCATGCTTTATTGTTCGCGTCTACTATTTTATTTAGCTTATAATTTACACATCAGTCGTCTCAGCTGGCTGGCAATCACGACGTGGCTTTAGATCAGTGGCAAATATCGACACCTATAACTCATACGAACACTGTAATGTGGTGGGAAACGACGCATGGAACTGGACTAAGTAGAATGTACATTTTATCTGTCATTTCCTTCAAATAGGTAAGTCTACGATTTTATTTCTATTACTGATGAAGCCATTTGTACAGATAGGAGAGAATTGTGGCTAATTTTAATATGCGAGGTAGGAATATTTCCAGTTCTGTTTTGTTTACTTTTAACTAAGATGTGCTGGGTTTTTAACGAACCGTATTAAAACATGTCTTATTCCCGTGCGGTTGACCATGTCACTGAAGTCCCGGAAATATGACCAAATATGATCTATTTTTCAAACATGTCGATTCATTGTAACTGGTCATTGATACCTAAACTTTAAGGTCCATTTTGTCATCAAAACAGTTCACAAGTTACTTTTCTTGCATAACGTTTTGGGTAAATGTTAGTTGAAGTTTTAAAGAGATTGAAACAGGGATATATAAACAACGAGGATGAGGTGTAACACAAAACGGCAGCAAAAAGAATAGGTAACAATATCCTTCGCCACGGTATTTAATTCTTTGCTTCACGTTGTGTTTCAAAATGGACTCAGAATGGGACTTGAAAATAGATTTTTCTATGGACTCATTATATCTCCATAATAAGCCCTTTACAACTCCTGAACATTGGTCTCCTAAAATACGTTTTATATCAAACACAGATGCATTAGCACAAACATGAGTCTAATGAACTCAAAAAAATAAAATGTCTTTCTGACAATCAGCTTCAAGATCTCGACATCTTAAATTCAGACCTCGTATCCGAAAATGCTACACCCTGCTTTCCTAGAAATACCAATGGTTCAGGCAGATATTTCGCTGGTTATGTTCTTTTATACTCCTGATACCCCAAAGATAGCAATTTACTAATTATTTGATTGGTTAAATACAAAGAGTTGCCCAATAGAAAAGAAATATAAACAATATATATTTCCATATTTGGAACCTGTGTCCAATCATACTCCTCGCAGTGTTTCGCTTGATAAGAACTAATTCCACTTAACACTGCTGTAATGGAAGCAAATTTCTGTTCCAAATTATGACTGGTCAATAGTCCAATTAACAACCAAAAGCAGCTATCTGTGTAACAATATCATTACGCTTTAAACAGAACTCCAAATTGGACCAAATATGTTTACATAACATAACGATTTTGTTACGCCCAATTAACCAGTGCATAGCAGAATATTACAGAAAACCTTCTTGCGTGACAAACGAGGCTATAAAAACGGATACAATGTAAACCATACTGTTTGGAGACGGACAATACTTTCACCGTTTTTAGTACCTTAAATCACTGACCAAAGTTTTAGGGAGGACTCCATATTAAACGAAGGGCTGGCATGTTGCTGTACTTGGGATAAATTTGACTGAACGGGAAGAATAGACACACTCCCTCAAAAGCACAAGTATTAGAAGCCAATCCAGCAATGGCCAGAGAGGGATTTCTCGGATCATTGCTTCAGGAATATGGTGTGCAATATGTTCTTTAATTCTGTAATCAAACATGGAATCTACTTACATAAGTTAGTAAACTGCATTTCGACAATAAAAAGGAGATAGATATATTTACAAAACGTCATATTTTAATCATAATTTGAAAACAAGTAAATTACGACTTCGGTGGATCTGCCCAAGTAGTTTTGATAGAAAAGTAAAGTCTGATTGCTAGCTCATGGATGCAAAACCATTATTATCAAAATACCATGACTACGCGTGGTATTGGTTAGCTTGTTTGTTAATTGTGGGATAATTTAAGTTCATAATGTCAGCATTCTAAAATATAGAAATCTTCTGTTAGAGATCATGAAGACTACATATGTTCCTGTCGTAGTCTATTCTCAATTTTGGGGGGCTTGTTCTTTTAACATGACCTTCATATGGTTTTAGCGGAGCTGTTTGTCCTTACTTTGTCTGATATCAAATTGCAGGATTTCGCAAGTATAAACAAGTCACGACAATAGACATTTAATCATCATTGCCAGTTAATTAATTAACCGGCAGCATGTGATATAAAAATATTCAATTCATTTGTAAATATTAAATTCTACGTGTTGTCGGTATCGATGGGGTCCGGATGATTGAGCACCTAAGAAATCTTAAACCTAATCCTGACAAAAGTAAGATAAACATATTAGAATCATAAAGTTGAAGAATAACAACTCGTCAAGTTGTGGTCATGAAGAGAAAAGACGAGAACGCGATCACTAATTGGTAAAAACTGACAATATGTAACGCGATTTAATATAAATGCGGTACATATGTAGTCCTATGGGTAATCAAAGAAAATGGTACAGAAAACGGCAGTCGATTTCTTGTAAATTGTAAATGGGGAAACTATGAAAATTTAAACATGTTCCCGATACAGTTACAAATAGCTATTTTCTGTTTTGGAAATCTAATGACCATTTTTAGCCAAATAACAATATATGGCAACCGCCTCCACAAACATAAAAGACGTACTGTTTGTTGCTTAAAATAACTGAATATGTTACTGTTGTTGATTTCTATTTTAATTGCTGGTATTATTAATATAATGTTCAAGGTGTTTTATTAATAGATCATATATCAACGTCATTTGCCTTCAAGTAAAACTATAGTGTATTGGTTAAATGTAACGAACGTAACTTGGATGATCATTGATAAATTACACACGTTATATCAGAGATGTACAGTAACGTGTGTTTGTGTGAGAGAGAGAGATAGAAGGTATATTAGTGTCCATTCAACACAAATTAGAGCAGTTTGGGGCTGAAATATTGTACATACTGGACTTTAGCAATAGGTGGAATTCGAAGATAGCGCCATCAACGCTTGATCAAGAGGAACAGAATTGGCAGTATGGCCTCTTTTTAGTTCAGAGAAAGAGAAAATTGGGGTTTAACGTCCACCCAACACGAACTAGGTCATTTCGGGAGTTCAATATGGTATGTTTTATTCATATAATTCGCTTACGCTCAGGAGTCATTAGAAATGGGTGGAAATCGAAGTACTTGGTGGAAACAAACAAATTGTGAGATCTAACTCAAGATTTATAAGAATGCTTTGCGAACTCGGGTCTTGCCTATTACGTTGGACAATGTACGCAGTAACTCAATACCCTCGTCACCTCTTGTGAATCCCGTACTCTTTTCTATAAACGGTGGGAGAGAAGGTGTATGGGGGTGGAATGCTGCAAACGGTTGACCGACGGATCATAAGTCTGTCATTTATGCAGGGGTGAGTGCATTCTCAGACGAATAGCCGATTGTCTAAAACCTAACTTAACGGACCTTTTCCATTTTCTCTTCACTACCGACACTCATCCCGTACAGAGTTTATTTCCAAGCGAATTCATAATTAATAAAGCTAAGATATACCATCAGTCCAAACATTATTTAACGATTAATATTAATCTCCACTTCATATGGCAGTCCCAAAATAATTTAAACATTAATCTTATACTTCACTTCAGAGGTCAGTCCTAAAATAATGTAATCATTAATATTAAACCCCACGTCATATGTCAGTTCCAAAAAAATTGCAATTGTAAACCTGACTTCATATGTAAAGATTAAGAAATGTATTGTTTATACTTCATTGCTAAATTCCATGTCAAATTAACATACATCCTGAAGGAAGAGAATACGAATGACATTAATTGACAAAATGATTTCTGACGTTATTTGTACCAGTCAAACAAATGTGGAGGTAAAGATCAGATGTCAATACTATAGAACAACTCTGACGTAACTATATATATACACGCAATTCGCTATTGAAAGATAATTTAGCGTATTAGAGCGTTCCAGTAGAATGTAAACCGCTATAATTGTAGCTGTGTTAAAAGCACTGGGGGCATAAGAGTTGATTATTGTCTTTTCGAAAGTAAAATCAAGTTTATGCCAAGAAATTGATGGTTTTTATAAATTTAATTCAAACTTTTAAAGGTGCAATCTTTCTTTTGGTCTGTAAGACATTATTGGTGATTTGACGCGAATTTTTAAAGTACAGTAGTTTGGGTGGCATTAGGCGCATAGCTCTAGTCCTGAAAAACATCTTTCAATTCTGTTTGGTTGTTGGGGGGGGGGCACCAGACTTCCAAAACTCATCGAATGCTGCGACTGTTAGTTTGCATTTTAGTAAGAAAAATTTTAAAAAGGATAAAATATATGTCATAAACGATTGACTAGTTCGTATTTCGTTGTGAGAAAAGCGGATTTTGATGAATATATCCTCCATTTTATCTTTAAAAATAATCAATTTACTATTTTCTTCCTTCATTATCCTGTCCTAACGTAAGAGATCTTGGTGGAGCAGATTAAATCAGCGATGTGTTTAATAGAATATTAACAAGCAGATAGATGAAACCAACGTCTTGTGTAATGGGTTATTAGCGAATATATGGCTGAAACCAACGATACCCTAATTCAACATTATGTGAAGTACGACGGGTCTTTAATTGGATATTTTCACTGTCATTACAGCAGAACGATTGAATTTTGTTAGATTCCACACGCTTGTCTTCACCAATCATTTCCCGGTGAAAAGCACAAAAGGATAGTAACAGATTGGACGAGTAAACTGGAAAGTTTCCTTCGTTGTCTTGTGTAACAATAAAATGAAGACACGTACAGGGCTGTCCCAATCAAATTACTTCTGACATCAACTCTAACGCGATTATATTTTTAGCGTCTTTCAAAGGGTTGTCTAAATTTGCCTATATCGTCATTGGCATTTGTCGAACAATATCTAATTGTTCACGACTTCAACGACTTACTCCACGTTTAATTTTATTCAGGTAGATTTCTTCTTGAAATTCAATAAAGAAAACAAATTCAAAATATCAACGGTTTGTAATTCCTTTGCTTGGTTTCAGTCGGATTAAAGGACCATCAAGAAATTTTAACCAACATGTATAGGAGGCACTGCCTGCCTTATTAATATATCCTGCACAAGATGTCGAGTTCATCTTATTTTTGTAAACACTGAACGGAATTGAACGGTTTTCGGACTAAAAAAAAGTCCTGCAAATGAAAACAAGCCGAAACGTTTCTGAAAGCGTTTTTTTTTTAAATTAAGAAGTTGACATCTAAAGTCATAACGGTGAAGCGTATCTGAAAAGACCTTTTTTAACAACATGAAACGCATATCAAAATTATGTTAAATTAACAGTATGAAACATATTATACATATTTTACGGTTGCTAACAACATGAAACGTATATGAAAAGGCTCATGGATTAACAGTATGAAACGTATATGAAAAGGTTCATAAATTAACAATATGAAACATAAAAGACTTTTGGATTAACAGCATGAAACATCAATGAAAAGTCCGTTAAATTAACAATATGAAACATAAAAGACTTTTGGATTAACAGTATGAAACATAAATGAAAAGTCCGTTAAATTAATAACATAAAACACATCTGAAAAGTCTTTTAAATTAACAATATGGAAAGTATATGAAAAGGCTGTAAAATTAACAGCATGAAACATACATGAAAAGGCTCTTGAATTAACTGTATGAATCGTATATGAATAATATGTTGACATATGAAACATATGAAAAGTCCGTTGAATTAGCAGAATGGTGTAGCACTACGCATTGCTATGAGTCGCTGGCTAGATGTGGAAAGTACAATTAAACAAAAACCTCTCACATCCAACGTGTGACACATACTCTCTTCTATGCTACATATTTTAATAGTCTTGTGATCGCCTATTACTGTCTCTGGTTGTATTTGTTTCTTATTCTCTTCTTAGGACTCATGTTGTGTATATTTTTATCTCCGCTATTAAGACGGTTATCTTCTCATTAGGTAAGACACTTGTCTTACCAGGAATAACAATGCATCAGTTCGTTTTTACATTTTATATATCAAGCACTGGTTACATAAGATACAAGCATAGATTACAATAAAGTCATTCTCTCAATACCATTCCACCCAGACTAGCTGGGAGACTGCTGATAGAAATTGCTACATCCTCTGCCTCTGGAATCTAGCGGCTATCTGACAAATGCCCAGAGATATGATAGTTTTGTAGCTTTGGGTTTGGACTTTCAATTATCCAATCGGTCATATATGACGTAATTAATTATAATGATTGGTCATTAAGCCTAATGACGTCGAAAACCAACCTTATATGGACAGAGTAAACTTACGACCAGGAGTGTCAGACGTGTTATTTTGTTATTAACCCAGAATTAAATTTTTACCAAATTATAGCTGATTTTATGTATCAACTTATCAAACATACATTTGAGTGCATGAGATCTGACATCTGTACAATACATGTACGCGAACCCAATAATTATTTAAGGATATAATATAATGCTATCATTAATTTAAAGAGCAATGATTCTATCAATCTTAATACAATGAAACATGAAAAGACTGTTTAATTAATATTCTGGTACGTGTATAAAAAACAGCTGTTAAATTAATCTTATAAAATTAATCTTATATGTGCAAGAGACAATCAAGTTTTACAAATTGAAATCCACGAGTTGTTTAAAATACAAGAAATACAAAAACATAACTACAAAGGGTATCAAAACTTGTATGTATCTACATATATTTACCTTTTTATTTACAGTGTAGAGAATAGCCAACAGATCACGTGTCACCAGGTGTAACAGCAGTTGTTTTCAACAAAGGATATTATACCACAAACAAATTCTGACTTATAGCTGTGGCACAGATCTAGATACATATCATCGAATGTATCCCCATGTAAAATTAAAACACCGTTAAAATCCTATTTTAATAGAATTACTGTAATAAGCGCTTATTTCTTGGAGGGTGCTTTATTGCATTAGTGTCCGTATGTTTTTCGTTTGATTTTCTAGCTTATGTATGTAGCGCCTTGGAGGATATACGTAGTTCGTGCTTTTGATAGCTTATGCTTATAGATTCTTGTTGTCTGTGGTGCCGTCAGTGTGTACACATCACACAATAGCTAAGACTTCCACTCTATCTGGCATTACAAAAGAATTGAATTACAACACCAGCAGATAATTTTATCCGTGTGAGTTGATATGATTATCACCGTACCCTACGTCATTTCCAATAAAATATTAACAACTATACACAGCTATAGATAGAAACTGGACTTGTTGATCCTGTGTTTGCTGTTTGAGGTGTCTGTGTGTATTGTATCCTGTCCGTAGGTTTGTCTTGTTGGTGTGTGGTGCGGTTCCACTGCACTTAATATTAACCATATAAAACCCTGTTGACGGTATTGAAAATTCAAGATGTGTAATTGTAAACGATTTGCATTAGAAGAATTACATCCTAGAAATTTCTTGTTTGATTATCTTTACCCGGAAGATTTTATCCGATTTCAGGTAAGCTCCTTTTTTTAGAATTATCTGTACCCTTTTAATCTTTGTAAAAAATCTTAATTAAATTTCATTCTGTATTTAAAATAACTAAATATTTTTGTTTTTCTTAGAAGTACATATATATAAAGAAATTCGATAATGGGTGGGCAGCAAAGCCGATATCCGGGAAAAATATCCCCCACAGCACATAGCATGGCGTGTGTTCGTCTTAATTACCCCGGTTGGTACAAAAGATGAAGATGTTAACCCCATTTCATTCCATTTCAGTTAGCAATTATTAGTGGCAGGTGCGATGCAGGGAGTAAGGTATACTTACTTCTTTTGGAGCACCTGATGTCACTGCTCATTTGAGTAGTTTACAGAGCTAACACATTTTACTTTAATTATAATATTAGTATAATTGATTTCAAAACGGAACATTAATTAAAAAGCACATAAAATGAGAAAACTAAATTGTATGTACTTACAGCCAGTAGTTGCTATATCCACTTTACGGCGAGTTCACACCAATCGGCTTAAGATTAATTCAGCTATCTTCACTCAAAGTCACAAATATAGACCTCTCGTAAAACGACTTTGCCAATTACCGAAAACACTCTTATTCCCCTGAGACGCCTGTGACGTCATCGTGACCAAATGCATATTAGGAATGTTTATTCCTTAAAGATATTATGGGAGATTTTTATAGAGAGTTGGTCATTCTTGCTATAGCAGTTCAAAAGTAGACGATGGAAGAAGAATATATTGAAAATTTCAGTCAAATTACTTTATTCTGAACAAAGTTATCATCGTTGTAATATTTGACTAGAAATGGTAGTCAAATATATCTTCACCTTGGCGGATCGTTTGATTGACAGGCGTTAACTCCACCTACATAATCTCGATTATCAAGTAACGTTTTCAATGGCTTGAGACGGGGTTGCAGTTCAATTCGTATCACATTTATTTTTACTACAAATTAAAAATAAGACTTTTATTATATAGATAAGAAGAGAAAGTTTGAAAGACGTTAACTCCACCGACATAATCTCGATTAACAAGTAACGTTTTCATTGGCTTGAGACGGGGTTGCAGTTCAATTCGTATCACATTTATTTTTACTACAAATTAAAAATAAGACTTTTATTATATAGATAAGAAGAGAAAGTTTGAAAGGAATGGACCAAATCAATGAGGCATAATTATAGCCGACTCCTTGTTAGCCTGCGTGTACTCTTGTACTGTAAGGTGACGACGTGGCTCCCGAAGCAGACAAATAGGAAACACTACAGTGATCCAATGGGGCTGCAATTCAACTGGTGATGTTAGCTGCGATGTTTATCAGTTTCCATAATTTTTCTGTAAATGCAAGTGACAAAAGAGCGTATAATACCAACATCCAAACTCTCATTTTAACGACAACTGAACATAATATCAAGGCCGTATATATCGAACTTTCAATCAAATTGACTGACATGCGGCATCGCTCAACAGCGGCGTCGCTTCGTATACTCTATCATTTAGCCTCGATCTAACTGATGACGTCAACGTAACGGTTAATAATCTCCGCATGGGGCGCCATTTTTGATTTAATCAATCAGTGAAATCCTATTTAAATCCAAGATGTAGCCGAGCCATCCGTGGCGTGGGTCTACAGAGTTGATTTTGGGCTTGTTGTTTAAATATCGATCTAATTTATAATTTCTTTAACATCTGAAGCCTAAATAAGACTTGCAATAATGAGATTTAGATCTTGCATAATGTATGTTTAATTACCTATGCACACCCAAGGTATGTACCCATTAACGCCTGACTGATTCCTTAATCCCCTAATAAAATAAAACAACTACAGAATAATTGTTTTGTTTATAAAATGAGCGAGACAAATTGACGTAGCTTAAAAGAGTGATTTATCTTTAGAATCAATTCCATAACCAAGACAGTCGCTATAGCCATATTCCCGTACCATTTTGATCACCAATATGAACATCAATGAAGCCAATATAAGTAATTAATTATGTCGGCGTTTACTAAAGAAGTGTGTTTCAAGTAATAATCATATACATTTAGTTCATTAACATTTGTATTATTGATGTTATTGGTCAGTTAGAGAATGGAAGAAGAATATTTAGAGCGGTGTTGTAATAGCAGGTTTTCTTTTTCAATTCGGACTGATTTAAAGTAAGGTTTAACGTTGCAAAAAGGGCACAATGTTTTTAAAAGGAACTTTGTGAATTAAATTCCGATGCCATTTAAATAGGTCACATAATGGTGTTTATCGAATAATTTCGCCGGATTTCAATTTTACAAATTAAAAAAGATATCGGTGTAAGTAGACGACAAGAAAGTCACAGGTATCTGCTGTCTATTTCGATTATTTTCTTTGAAAGATGTTAATAATGAAAAAGGAATGAATGTGTGTGTTATTTGTTGAGAAACTGTTAACTAATTTTAAAAAACCCAAAAAAACTGACACAAAAAAAAACAAACATAAACTGATATGATGTTGAAAAAGGAGGGTAACGATTGAATTGCAGGAATGGAACTCGTAAATTTGTTTTCTGTTTGAGTATTTCGAAACACTGAATAAAGTTGTGCCGTAGAACATAACAAATGTTTATTGCAAATCACCGTTGTGATCTTAAGTTGACAAATCAGGATTTGAATAATTTATTAAAGCAGCCCACTCTTTCCGTACTGCATTTGGTAAATTTATGACAAAATGAACAGTATCTGCTTTTGTAAGACTACCACAATTCTCGATAATGGAATTAAAGATAATGCGGCATTGGCTAGTATAACGATACTAGACTAGGTAAAGGACAATATTGGTGCCAGTCATTATCACATATGTGATAGAACTGGTTAAACACGTTCCAAATATTATTTTATCACAGAGATCGTTGCTACGATAGATGAATAATCAATGTTTCAACAATAGGAAGTGACGAACGCAAAAGGAAAACACGAGTTATCCCACTATATAACTGGCTGAAGTGACGGGTGATAACAGATACATAGGCGAATTCTGTTCACTAAAAATTCCTTCGAAGACCAAAAGTTGTTATATGAGACTGTAAGAGTATATCTGACAATTCAAAAAAGTAATTGCATGTCATTAGATAAGAGAACATGAGAAAAATAGAAACAGTCCGCACATTCACGTGTGTTTATTCATTCTATACTTATAAAAACATGGTAATGCACGGACTTTTTCTATTTTTCTTTCATGTTCTCTTATCTAGTGAGAGTCAATTTTGTTTATGAATTGTCAGATATCCTTTCACAGTCCCATAAAACAACTTTTGGTCTTCGAAGAAATTATTAGTGAGCAGAAATTCGCCCATGTATCTGTTATCACCCGTCACTGCATTCAGTTATATAAAGGGATAACTCGTGTTTTCCTTTTGCGTTCGTCATTTCCGATTGTTGAAGCATTGATTACGCATCTATCGTAGCAATGATCTCTGTGATAAAATAATTATATTTGGAACGTGTTTAACCAGTTCTATCACATATGTGATAATGACTGGCACCAATATTGTCCTTAATGGTGAAGCGCCCCGTCAATCCACATCAGCTTGTGTATTCAGTGATAAGATGTGTGGTCCCTGTGACGTCACGCGGCAATCAACTGTATTAAAGCTGTACTCGAAAAATAGAAAAGTGTTTTAGAGACATGACATATAAATGGTCATATATCGAATATTTTTAATCAGAATGGTGTTGCAATTGACTAAAGTGTTTATAATAAACACTGGTTTCAAGTACACACAACTTCCATATGACCACTTGATGTGCTCTTCAGATATTATTTCAGTCAAAGCAGTCAATATTAAAGTATATGTCCATATTCTAATGTATCCCATCTTTATTTAAATGATTGATATGTCTCTAATTCAGTAACATTCATTATATTATGGGTGTTAGTTTATGAGTGTATCGATTTAGTATTAAAGTATATAACTGTCCATATAGAGTATATCCAGTCAGTATTAAAGTATGTAACATGTATATATTTCAGTGTATCTAGTTAGTATTTAAGTATGTAATATGTCCATATTTGGTTAGTATTTAAGTATTAATACGTGCATAAGTCAGTATATTCAGACAGTATTTAAGAATGTAATATGTCCATATTCTGTATATCCAGTCAGTATTTAAGTGTGTAATGTGTACACATTTCAGTGTATCCAGTCGGTATTTAAGTATATATTATGTTTATATTTCAGTGTATCCAGTCAGTATTTACATATATATTATGGCGATCAGTATGGGCGATATGTTTTATATTTATGCTGATATTAAACGGTACAATCAGTGATTATTGGACACCTCCCAATTATGTACATTATCAATGGTTTACATATTTAACTCACTGGACGTCCTTTCTACTGGCCTTTGTGTCTACCATGGATGCCATTTGTGTTATACAGATTTATCTTCATAGACCCGATATTGTTAAAGGTAAGAATTCGTTAATTATACCGGGGTATATTATTGATAGTGTACGTGAAAGAACCTCTGTAGGTTGGAATTCGATGAAGAGTAGACGGAAATTCCGATGTCGTGGCACAATTCCCCTCTATGACATCTTATACGTGGTCATAGCATATAGTTGAATTACCGTATGTTAGTTTCAAAATAACCCTTTAGCCCAAAATGTAAAAATTTCGTACGAAGAATAGGACAAGTTAATTGTAGGCTACATGTAGTACACCACAAAGGACCAGTTAATTGTACATGTAGTACACCTCAAAATAGATAGTAGCATAACCACCATAGTGCTGAAAGGTGTCGTTTAGATAATAGTAAACATTTTTTAAACAACGCAATTTAGCTACCATTTTGGCGTCGATGTTCTGGGACAAAAATGAGACACAGTTTGTTCATACGCCGAGAAAGGATTTAAGAAAATTAAAGAAATTTAAAAAGGCAATCTGAATTTTAGTTGGAAATAATTTACGTAAGAGTCAATCGAAGTTGGGTAGATATTCTCTCTTTTTCATAAGTTTACTTTTATTGTGTATTGTTTGAAAGTCTATATTTGAAGTTTATTCCGGAATATGTTGCCTTTATTTATAGAATGTGCTATACATACATCTAAATGTATGGTGTGTTTTGATCTCAAAGCAATATTTATAATGTCTGAAAGTCTTTATTTGAAGTTTATTCCCGAATATTTTGTCTTTATTTATAGCATGTCCAATGATTTAACATCTAAATGTATGGTGTATTTTGCTCTCAAAGTAATATTTATTGAGTATTGGCTGAAAGTCTTTTAGAATTTCAGACCTTTGTTTAGAGCATGTCCTATAATATTACTTATAAATGTACCGTGTGTTTTGCTCTGTAAGTAATATTCATAATATCTGAAAGTCTATATTTGAGTTTTCTTCCAGAATGTTGGACTTCTAAATATGGCATTATCCTGTTATATATACGTGTAAATGTATAGTTTATATTGTTTTCAAGGTGATATTTATAGAGTGGATCGGTATATGAAATGATAACATCTGTTTTCTATGACAGATAGACAGATTAAATATATGAAATATATTATTACACGTCGCACGTGTTGAATAGAAACCAATAACTCATATTTCATAATAGCATTTATCGACTTTGCTTTGTAATAACTTTGTTTTATAACAGCTATTATGAAATAATACCACATTACAATAGAATGTGTTAGCTATGTTATCTTCCCAGACGTTTTATTACGCGTTTTAGTAACGATAAGCATAATTATACATTGCCTTATATGTATTCACCTCAACGCTGTAGGTAATCGCGGGATAGTTTGGTTTGGATTTCCGAAGTTAAGAGACACTACAGTTCGATACTATAATAAAATCAACGCGAATAATTTTTTCTCCATATTTATTAATACATGTATGACAACATATCAAAATAGAATTTATTTTATTTATTTATAACAGCTTGGAGAAGTTCTGAATAATCAATACATCATAATAATATTAAGAGCTATTTTCCCTATATAAACTATTAAATAAATTATATTAGAGAATGAAACACCTGTGTTTTCATATCTACTGAAATTTACCGTATGTATTTAATAATACATAAATATGGAAATAGTTATTGATAAAGTTGTAACTGCATGTCTAATCTAATTTATATGGAAATAACTTAAAGGCACAATAATCCGAAATAAAAACAAATGTATACTTTGTCAAATAGTGGATTTTCAAATAGAACCGAGGTACACAGTGAACCCTTGACAGATGTAAATCGAAGAAGAGTAGGCGGAATCGCCGCTGTTGGGGCAAAATTCTCCTACATCACATTGCACATTGAAATAAAATGGCCTTATTATGTGCGTCTCATATCCTTAAAGGAGCTGAATCTTTAATGTTTGGGACCTAGAAATTGACACCAATGGGTCTCAACGCATATAATAATGTAATATGAATGTATATAAACTGATTTACATTTAATCGTTTCTGTTTTTACTGCAATTTCTGATCAGTTATGTTCGGCGAAATACGCTAGAAGTCTCAATCGAATGGCAATCTCTCGCACCTGGTTATTCCAGTCTACACCGATAGAATTTATTGCGCATGCTCTCCAGATAAGAATATGAGGTTACCGTTTGACATAACTTGTGGAATATGTCTAGCCTCATTCTTCGAGTCCCTTGTTGCAAATGGCACTGAAACGCATTATGGTACACGATTCGTATACCAATGGTAAAATGTTTATTTTGTCTTAAATATTGGATATCAGAAGCCCATCTTTTCCAGGTAAGATCACAACATCAATGTTCATTTAAATTGACAAACAATTCGCGTTTTCAATGTCGAAGACTTTGGATGATATTGAATTGAATCTTAAAAAAGATGAATCCTAGCGTAGGTTATAACCTTTAAAGTTTACATTGCTTTTCACGGATTTCACGATCACCATCTTTGTTTTTTTCATTAAAATTCTAAAGGATAAAACCGATCAATCTTAAGTTATAAGTTTTAAAGGTTACATTACTTATCATCTTTGTTTTTACTGAACATCTGAAGGATAAATTATTCATGAACATCTCGCTGAAGATGGTATCAAACTTAGGGGTTTGTTTTAATCGTCTAAATCACTGTCTAAAGATCACTTTTCGCTCGTTTTGTTTTATTTTGGCTTATGTATATTGGCTTTCTACGGTGTTTGCCGAGAATGTTCCTCGGGATTTTCCGGTGTGGTTTCATCTTGTCAGTGGTGCAGGACGGAAGGTTTAACAAGGACAGTGTCTAATCATTCAGTTGGGACGAAAAACATTGGCGTGCACGTAAAAGAATCCTTGATAGTTGGTGTTCAAAATAATAGCAGGCCATAGCACACTGTATGCCGTAGAAGGTTAAACCCCATTCATTTTATTTGTATCTAAAACATACGACTTTTGCCAGCCTTCATTAGCAGGGGTGGGGCAGAAAAGGAGGACGTAAAACGTCATTTCATGCGCTATATGCTCATAATGCTCTGATATACTCGAGAGAATAATCGACAGAGATATTGCTGTCTAAAGAATACCAACCTGTCTATTAATATATTTAATATATTCTATACACTAACAATTTTATTGATTTGTTATATTTAGAAGAATGTAATAAATAATGTACATTATTGTTGCGATAACAGTTTATACATTTATATAAGGCCACTAATTTGATTCTCTTAGTTCTTTAGGATCTTGGGGGAGCCAAAAAAAGAGAAGCCAAACGAATTGTTTTAGTTTTCTAATATTTAAATGGGCTTTTAAGACGTCAAGGAAGCGAAATTTAAATACAATTTAAAGACCTTTTTTTGCAAGATATTTAGAATTAATTTCCGACATACTAGAGAAAGTGGCAAAAGCATAGAAATTGTATCGAAAATAATGATTGATTCCGACGTGGGCGAAGCCAGAAGAACTCAAAATGAAATTGCTGTTGCCTGACAAAGTAGCATCTTTCTATCTAAGCAATAAATTCCATGAGCACAAATAATGGTATTTTATCAAAATTAAATCTATTATTAAGGGACTCATTCTCGTGCAATACTATTAAAACATAGACGATTGAAAATTGGATACACATACTGATATCTTGCCGTCTTATTTCAAATATAAAATCAAAATTATACTGACCCTCAAAATGCTCATACAAATCACAGCAAATGTATTTTTGAAGAATATTTCTTCAGTTAGATACTGTAGCAAATATGGTTACAAGCATTATCTCTAAAAAGGTTAGAAACGGTACTGGGGGGCCAAAAAAGCGTAGATGAGATTTATAATGAAAGAATTAAATCTAAAGGCGGGCAAAAAATTGACAATGCTTTCCTCGCAAATTCACAAAAAATGAAATCTCTTTAGAAACTACAACAAAAAAGGAGGGAAAAAAATGTAACCTGTACGCGGACATGAACTTTATGATTGTAAAAAAAAAATAAAAGTGTCGATTGAACTAAATGTATTGAAATGCTTAGCGCAGTGGGCACATATTTGTCTACATTTTAAATGTTAGATCCACGTATAAAGTCAGTGTTGAGATACCAAAACTGATCTGATTAAAAGAAGAACAATGTTGTTGTTCTGAGTGTTTAACGCCCGCTTCCACCGAAGGTGATATCGCAGACAAGTCTTATTTTATTCATTTTTTTGTGTGTATTATCTTAGCGCACGCGCAGGGGTCTTTCCTGTGGGAGGAAACCGGAGTACCGGGAGTAAATAAACGAGGCTGAGAAGGCGCCACATACACTCACACTAGAGCTCGAAGCGGCCATCCCAACCCCCCAATGAAGAACAATATTTTGTTTCGCATTTTGTAGTTCAGAACTTTTTGATTTGTTTGTCTCCAAACCTTAGAAAATATTAAAAAAAAACGAAACGAAAATTAGATCTGTATTTATATCAGATTAGCCAAACGAACTAAATGGAGTAAAAAAAACTGACTTCCGCTTTATGCGATACGTAATTTTAATTGCATTGAGATTACCCTAATTAGAGTAGATCATTCTAATCTGACGGACACTTAAACTCAGATACGCAAGGCAAAGTAAATTAGACAGGCATCATTAAAAAAAAATCGAATTTAGCCTTCTCAACCATGGCAACTCTATTTTAATTTTTTCTAAAAAGAAAAATCTAAATTTTATCAGCATATTGCTTCCTATTGGATAAAGTTCAGACGTCATTGTCGGTCTTTTTTCTGTCTTGTTGCTTAAACAAGGTTTTCAATCTAATATGAACGCCATGACAGAAGAGCGAAAACCTACCATTAAAATTCTCCTTCAAATCTAAATGAAGTAGATTCATTCATGCATTTGAAATGCCAGAAGTCGACATTTCCCGCTTAGATTTCAAAAGAAGAAACCTTTTCTGAAGATACATTTTTAATTATTTTCATCGATCTCGATTCTACAATGCCGGCAACTGGAAAATTGTGGATTTGTTATCTTTGAGTAATATTCTGTAGAACAGCTATCTTTTATGACTGTCACGAAAGGCCGACAAATTAAGATTTCTCTTTCTTATTAGGGTTTCCAATCAATATCTGCTGATACAATGTAATGTAGTAATGCATGTATAATTACTAGAAAAAGTGGAGCTGACTTTGATATGTTGGGGGTTTTTTCTTGGTGTTTTATTTATCAAAGAGAGAATAATTAGATTTTTTGTTATGTTCTACAATAACAGACTCGGAATAGTAATAAGAACATATTGTATTCTCTATAAAACGAACATATCCAAATGGTATGTGTTTGAAGCCAGTTTGATTTTATGCAATTAACGCAAATTCCACAAAGGTATGATTACAAATATTCACTATACCATCTTCTAAGCAATCTGATTAAAACACAGATCCTATTTCGTTTCGTTTTTTATAGTTCCAAATTTCGTTTTACTTGTATTTACTACACTAGGATCTGGAAGAGTTGTTATCATTGACGTGTTCTGGATGATGTGGGGGTGGGGTGGGGTAGCCAATGAAACGGTCTGTTACGGCGACTTCTTGGTGTGCCATGCACGGAACTGTGGGTAAACCACTAGAAACGTCAACGCTGATTTTTTAATCAATGTCTGACGTCATAGGGTCAAAAGCCGCTCGTACGACCCCTGACACGACCTTCGAGTACAACTGGTCACATCTTCATGTAGTGTAGGCCATCGAAAGTACATATTTTCAGGTTTTCAACTGCAATAAAATTGGAAGAAATTGGGTTTTACGTCGACTATAAGACACAATCTGGACCATTTCAAAACTAAACTATGGTAGTTTTATTTCAACAATCCGCTTGTCTGTAGGGGTCTTTAGCACCCACAAGAAATCGACCTAACTCATTGTCATGTTCGTGTGTGGGTTCGTAACCACCCAATGACAGATATTATCATCTAAAGCTTAGGCCACCGAAGATCCTGTCTCTCCGACTTTTGGTTAAATTCATATAAACCTCTATCGATTCATTGGTATTTGAGATTTTTCGAGAGGTTACGATTCACCAATGAATATATATATATAAGATGTTCACCAAAATCGTAATACAAATAAAAATGACTCTCCACCTTTTAAAGTCTGTGTGTACAATTTAGATTTGACACTAAGCATTATTACTATGAAGGATTTACACACCGGTTTCTTGCCACGATCTGTGGAAATGTAACCACATAGATAAGACTGTACAACAGAAACAGATTAATTCTCGCTCGTACATGTATCGGCATATTCCAATCTTTTCGTCACTACCATATTCTTTTCTGAACGAATATGGATTCTAATAAAAATATATTTATAATATTCAAATTAAGAATGAATGTTATCATAATTAACAGAAGCACCCAACAAATTATTTTCAAATAAATCCAGGTTCGTGTTGAAATAGAAAAAGCCATGACTTCAATTATTGAAGACGCAAACGCAGAAAAATGTCACCATAAAGATTGTCAATGATAGGATATCACGCTCTATGCAGAAATTATTTACAAATAATTAGAAACAAAAAGTTAATTAGTTCTGTCACCACCGACTTGATTGTATGTAATGGCATGTATGTTAACGCCGGCAGTTGTACACATTCCTATATTATATATAAGATTTCTCCCCTGTTGCTTCATATATGTGATGATATTTCAGATAATGAAGAAAATCTTATTCGCGGTTAAGACCATGTTGCTACTTTTGGTAAAGGTTTATTTTATTTAAGAGACATTATCCAAGAATTCTGCCTATTGCAGGTCTTTATTTAGACCTTAAATGTTATATAAATTATTAACTAGACATTATTAACTTTCCAAGACCATAATCAACTCTCGATTTTCAACAGATTTAAATACGATTTAAATTTAAAAGGGGTAATCCAATACTGTGTTTATTATTGTAACAACGGCAGCAATAACAATCGATGATATCTCCGCTCAGAATGAAGTTATTTTACTGAAATGTTCAACATATTTCCTTTTCATTATCTATCTTTTAACTATTATAGTGATAACTGTCAACTCTTATTCTTAATCTTACATAATGTATATTTAATTATGAATGGGTTTATTTGATTACACTCAAGCACATTAATTTATCTGCATTTTGAGCGATACATTATGATGAACACGGTCATTTCCTGTTTGTGTGGGGGCGTGGTTTTAACATAATTTATAACATTTTTTTCTATAACGCTTTGTAATGAAGGGGGCATAGTCTAAAACAGTCGTTCCCTTACAGAATCGGTTCTCCCGATAAATAATACCTTACATAAGTGATCATATGTACTTAAAACAGAAAACAGAACATGTGTTATGTACAGATCTTAAGATATTGAATTAAGCTTCAACATTTCGATCGGACATGGACGCATTAAGTGTTCTTGATTTGTTCAGACGCCGTTTCTATGTCGAAACTCTTTTTTATTCTCTAGAAAGCTGCCTTTGAAGTACATATTATTGATAATTTGAGAGTTATCCAATAAGGTTCTGTGTCAGTTTTTTACATAAGTGGTCTGAAAACATCTTCACTAAACGATGATAAGTACCAGTGATAATATCACATGTACGCTAATTGAAGCGGAAATATTATTCCTGATCAACTAACAAAAAGCGTGAATAACATATTCTGTTGCGTATGAAATTCGATAAGCACCCTCTCCGTGTAGATGTATGTTGATATCTGAACGCATTGTATATTGAATATTAGTTTTGGTTTCTGTGAGAATAAAAATATGACGATGGTTTTTTTTTAAAATGTGGCTCGATTCATAGACACAGTGTAATTTAAACAGCTAATATGAAATACAATATGTTTATTATAGTACATGTCGTTTGGATATATTTTCCGGTGGTGGGGGGAGGGGGCTTAAAAATACCATTACAGCTCTAAGTTTAAGATTGTCAAGATTCCCATTATATTGGGGTTGCAATTGTCTAGTTGCTTTGGTTCGACCCCATCTTCATTAGCCTGTCTGGTGCAGAAATGCAGGACGTTAAATCCCATCATTACTTGTGTAGACGTTCGCTAAAAATTGTTAAATCTCGTAATTTCTAGAAGAAACTCCTGGGTCTCGGGAATCGGTCCGGGAAGGGATCCGGGTGTAACGGATATTTTTGATGGCAATGCTATTATCACTTCAGGTACCTTGACGGGTATGCTTATAGACATGATTTCTTGACCTGAAGGGTGTGTGAATGTGATGACTAACGCTACTGACACATTTCATACAGCAAAGTGTTTTCCGAGAGAGTAGAGTGGACACAACTGCTGTTTTACTATTACTTATTCTCTATTTATTATTTTACAGGTGAATTCAGACAAATGCCCTGGTATGTAAAAATAAACTGGTTGTGCACGACTATCAACAGCAACTTGGTATTACTGGTTACACTGATACACTGGATATTCGTATATAAAGGTAAGAAGTGCTATTAAGACATTACAAAGGATTCGACACTACAAAACATGGCTATATATTAAATAGCCCTATTTAATGTAAATTTCGAGAGGACCAAAAATGAGGGCTAAGTTAGACTGAGAATGAAACTCAGCCATAAACAATCGACCACCCAATCCATATACAGCAAACAATTTTGCACGAGTGTCCTTTGAACAGTACTATTTGTAAGACTCGAAGATCGGCTGATTGGTTCAGTGTAAAACGACGAATGTTGATGGTCAAACCATTTTGCACGAGAGCACTTAAAACACTATTATTTATAGGACTCTTGAAACAGCGATAGTTGGGCTGATTGATTCAGTGCAAAACGACGATGGTGGGTGATCGCGACTAGAATTTGTGAATGCTGATATCACATGAAATTGCAATTTGTGCTCAACCACCTCCTGACAACACATCCATGCTCAGTTGTCCATGTTTCATACTGTTATCTGTATTGTAGCCAATCAGTCACATACTGTACGGTTTGCGTGACATGCGGTCAGAAAAAAAAGCTAACCATAAATATCGTGACAAACTGTGTTTTCAACAGTGGAACATGGTAATTGAGTTTAAAATAATTTGTTTTTGTGTGGTACTAACATAATGAGGGTTAAACCATTTTGACACACACACACAGGGTTTGTTGTGGTAAAACAAAGGAAACCATCGTGTTTAGATTTTGGTCAATTAAAGGTCTACATCCCTATTCACGCATTACAAGACAAGAGAAACCGCTTATAATTCCAAATTGTTAATCCATGTCATACTCACGTTAATGTAGACGTACCTATGTCTCCCACGTGAATATTACATTAAAATAATTGCTTAATTCTTCAGCTTGCTTTGTCTACCAAAATGTTAGATATTCTAATGCAATAGTAAGTAATTTTGTTCGGTGTAGCATACAATGATATTTTAAAAGATTGCATGTATATCTATCAGTCACAGAGCTCCAAAGCTATTGCTGAGTTTATCATAGATAAAGTAGCCTAGCCAGACTCTAAAAGACTCCTCAAACCCAGGACTACTAGATTCTGCAAAGATCCTCCAGTCCATAAGTACTTTTAAGGTTGTCTTTATTTTTATACCTTCACAAGGTATAAGCTGTTCTCATTTTTTTCTTTTCTATCTACCTTATTTTATTTTATTTTGTTCTTCCATTTGTTTTTGCTTCTTTTCATTGTTAGGATACTATTTTTCCTTTTTTTATATCAGATATAAGCTTATTTCCTTAATTCCTCCTTCTATTTTATTTGTTACATTTTTAATCAATTTTATTTAGTTACCTTCCCCTCACCCTTTTTTACTTTTTGTTATTTGTTTTTTCATTCTCCCTATATACCAACTTCTTAACTCCATTTATTTATTTATTTTTATTTATTTTTCGTTCTCATCCTTTCCTTATTTCCATTATTTTCCTTATCCGACTCTTCATTTATTTAACTATTCTACTCTTCTTTCTATCATCTAATAACCAAGAAGCTTAGTGTACAAGCCAATCAACTGATTGAACTCGTCACAAACCTCTTAAAACAACACCAACAAGCTAAATCTCTTTTATAAATACCAAACCTGATAACTGTTAAGTAAACTCAAACAAGCAATAGGAACCCATAGTTAATTAGTATTAATAACACTGATTGACTAGCGGCTTTTTTGTGGAAAGGCTTAACGACAGTTATACCAGCTTAAAACAACACTAACAATCTAAATTATTATTATAGTTACCAAGCCTCATAACGGTTAAGTAAACTCATACAAGCAATAGGAACCCATAGTTAATTAGTATTAATAACACTGATTGACTAGCAGCTCTTTGTGGAAAGGGTTAACAACAGTTATATCAGCTTACGCCATTAATTAACAACAGCATACAACCGTAATCAACACTGTTCAGTCGTCCCTCCTTTTGTTTTCGATTTTACTTTTCGGCAGCATAAGAACGATGGCGACAGAGGCTAGCTCACCCATGTCAATGGCTGACGCTTTTAAAAGCAGCCCTGCACCAAAGTCCTTTCCTGCGACAAAAAGGAGAGAAGAACAGACCCACGTCGTACTTGTGAGGCCACTGGAAGGTAAGTCCTTCCAAGGAGTCAAACTTACGGCCGTGGGCAAGGAATTGAAGAGTAAGTGGGGTATTATCAACATACCCGACATAAAGATCGCAGTGCCGGGACATATTAGACTTGCCCTAAAAAGTAGGTCTGACATGGACCTAGCGCTGGCCCAGAACCTACTTCTCGGTATGACCGTGACGGTGTCCGAACCATCCACCTTGTAAATAGACAAGGTGGTTGTTCATGGGATACCGGCCGAATATACCAGGGACGAAATTCTGGAGGATCTAATAGAGAGGGGGTACCAAGCAACCGAGGTATATCGGTTTAAAGTGGCCGAGGGGAAGGACCAGGGAAGCGTCGCCCTAACCTTCAAGAAAGGTACAGCGCCCGAGGCAATTAACATCGTCTACCTCAACCGACGTACTCACCCCTATGTACAGAGGGTAAGGCAGTGCGCCAACTGTCAGAAGCTGGGGCACACAGTCAAGTACTGCAAAGGAAAGATTGTGTGCGCCCAGTGTGGGGGGAGTCATGCGGCGACCGACTGCAGGGCGGGCATTCAAAAAAAATGTTCGAACTGTAAAGGCGGTCAGGCAGCGAACTCTCCTGAATGCCCGAAAATCCAGAACACCAAGGAAACTCTAAAGATCCAGGTAAAAGATAAAGTAAGTTTCAATGAAGCCTCATTGATGCTGAAAAAAGAAGGAAGGGAGGACAAAAGATGTCAGGAATAGGGCTCCGGTTGCAAAACCAATTCCGGGGCCGATTCCATCGACATCCCAAACAACGCCGAAAAAACCCACCAAGGCACCCAACCAAAAAGACAAACCAACACCAAAGAATAAGACCAAATCCAAGAAGGAAGAGAAACCGAAAACGAATGTTCATGAATCACACTTCATTCCTAAATTTAAAACGGAAAGTGACTTCATGATCGAGTTCCTCCGGGTGGCCGTGTCCAATGAGGACCAAACTACCAAGATGACAAACCTACTCGGCAAAATAAGGACACACATGGTCAACCCCGATGTCCTGTGTGTCATGATTAATTCAATCAACACGGTAAAAAAAGATCAAGAGAAGAAGAAACCACAAAAGGCGATCAAACGGCAAACCTCGCACTCCGTAGAAGGATATCTCATGTTCGTCACTACAGCACTGGCGATATGCCCAGTTGCTTGCCGGTTTTAACACCAAAGACGAACACTAATGAGGTACCTCCTATGGAATGTGAAACGCCAATTGACCAATAAATAGACAAGACAGAGAGGCATCCATCCGGACAGTCATCATGGCGGGCCAGGTAAAAGTTCTACAACTAAACGTTAATGGACTGGCCCCCCAGATGTGCTGAGCGGAGAAAATACATCACCCGCAACCCCAAAGATGTAATATGCCTCCAAGAAACCAAGCTACTACCAACCAAGAACGACATCTACTTGCCCGGATACACTTGTCAGAGAAGGGACAGACCGGGCAGCACGACACGTGGCGGTGGTCTTGCCATCTACGTCAGTGATAACTTAAATTATATTTCTGTTTCGCTGGACGTAGAGGACCCTCTAGAAGCAATGGGCATAGCCATCACATTGAGCAATAATACAAAATTGACAATAGTGAATGTCTATGTACCCCCAGATGTCACGAGAAAACCAGTTGACTTCCAGTCACTTCTCGACCAGCTTCCGCAGGGCGAATTTGTGTTTTGCGGGGATTTCAACGCAAAACATGTGCCGTCTGGAAGAAGCTGAACGCCATGAACGGGAAGCGCAGATCATTCAACATACCAAACCTAAAGAATGGAGATGAGTACGTTACCAACGGCAATGAAAAGGCAGATCTACTTGCAAAAGCTTTCGCTGACGCAAGCAGGGACGAAAACCAATCACCAGAGTTTCTGAAGAGAAAGGAAATCTTTTACTCACAGCACCCTTCATTAGAAATTGAACCTAATCAAGGGGCTAAACCAATCAATCTACCCTTCTCTGAGGAGGAGTTAAATAAGGCTCTTTCCCTCAAGAAGGATAGTGCGGCTGGTGAGGACAAAGTAAAGTACTCGATGCTCAAACATCTGCCTAGAAATGCCAAAGGGATACTACTAAACTTCTTCAACACATCCTGGCTGGCAGGAGAGGTACCTAAAGAATGGCGGAAAGCCAACGTCCAAAACCAGGTAAAGAGAGAACAAAGGCTGAGACCTATCGACCAGTAAGTTTGACATCCACACTGTGCAAAACCTTGGAAACAATGGTTAACATACGACTACAGTTCTATCTGGAGAGCAACCGACTGATCGACGAAAATCAAAGCGGGTTCAGGAAAGGGCGTTCAACAACGGACCACTTGGTGAGACTACAGCAAGTCATGTCGCAGGCACTCCTCTCTGGGAACCTGTTATGTGTCGTATTCGTAGATTTAACTAAGGCTTTCGATTTACTCTGGCTAGACGGGCTGCTCTTCAAGTTAGGACGTATTGGTATAACGGGCATAATGTTTCGGTGGATCAAAAGCTTTCTGAGCGATAGAAAGATACAGGTGAATGTTGGCAGATTTCTGAGTGCCGAGCAAACATTAGAAAATGGCACGCCTCAGGGATCGGTTATCAGTCCCACTCTCTTCAATATCATGATTAACGACATACAGAAATCGTCCTACCTCGACGCCAAAACTGAGTTAGCTAAATTTGCTGATGACAGTACCATATGGAGGAAAGGGAGGAACTTCTGTGAACTACAAAAGAAATTGCAGAAGGCCTTAGACAAATTCATGGCATGGGCAAACGATTGGGGATTCAAAGTCTCGGAGAAGAAAACAGTCGGCATGCTTGTAAGCAGGGATAGAGGGATAAGCAGAATGACTCTGTGTATGAACGGGAAAACCATCGAGTTCCTTGGCGTAATCTTTGACCGAAGGCTG